TAGAGATGCAATAATATTTTTTTAATTTCAGGAATAATTTTATCGAGAATCTTTCGAAAAAACCTTTCGAGTAAAGTTTTACTCCGTTAATAGCAGTGCAAATTAAGAGGTTATGGTGATGACAGTTTAAAGGCAGTTTCGTTGCATGTCGGCCATTTTTAATACTCTCGTTAGTAACTTTGCGATACTGACTTAAGCCGGTTGCGCTTCTCTGATATCTAGGACTCTACGCTTACTCAGGTTACGCCGCATGTGACGGCACCCTATCGTTCCGTGTAAACGTAGTCTGTGATCGCGCTGTAAATTTCCGCCATGGGACGCCACGGCTACGCCAGCCATATCCATTTCCATTATTCCATTCCTCATCGTCATCGAATGCGGTCGGGTGTCGTTTTCGTCTTATAGTTGCTTGTACTCTTGTAGTCTGGTCCATTGTCGACACATCCAAGATGGCGAGCACAGTGAACGAAATTTTAACACAAGCGAATGAAAACCTAACGGAATATCAAAATGCAACAACGGCGAGAGTACCTTCGACGCCCGAAGGAATGGCGATTGCGTATGGCAGCCTCATTATTATGGCCATTGTACCAATTTTCTTTGGTAGCTATCGTGCAGTCAAACACCATAAGGAGCAGCAGGTTAGCCATGAATCTTGACATATGTTTGACATATACATTTTTATAAAATCTCTTTTTTCACATTGTTTTGATCACGACAGTATATCATGATTTGTAAGAAAATTCTTTGATAGTCTTTGATATTTATCCCTTTTTTCAAATATAAATTAATTTTTCATGTAATTATAAGATTAAATAAAATTAAATTCAAATATCCAATAAAATCATGATGAAGTGCAACAAGATAACACAAGAGCACGCGCTATAGAAATAGTATGATACAATTGCAAAATTATGTATCGTTTATGTAGATATTGTCACTTTCTCTTGTATGTTTCACTATTTCACCTTTTATTTTATAGCAATTATATAAAACAAGTGGTGAGCAACCTGATACAATGTCTCGTAGAGAAGCAGCCATGTTTCCTCTTATCTCCAGTGTTACATTAGTCGGGTTGTATATATTATATAAGGTAATTGAAAGTAATATATATAAGGTAATTGGATGTAATATAATAATTTGTATATAAATGTTATTTTTGTAGAATGGAATATTACTTAAAATTATTTTTGGCAGGTATTTGCAAAGGAATATGTTAATTTGATATTAGCTGGATATTTTTTCTTTCTTGGTATTCTAGCTTTATGTCATCTTACAAGGTAATTTAAGCTTTTGTATAATTATAAATACATCATTGAATCTCTTTAGTAATTTCAATGAAATATTTAATTTAATCATTGATTCATCTTTAGCTGTATCAAAGAAATTTTTAAATGTTTTAAAATTTCAGCCCATTAATTTCATCGTTAGTACCTGCTGCAATTCCAAAGACGCAGTATCACATTTTATTTACAGAAGGAAAGGATGATAAAGATGAGCATATAATTAATTATAAGTTTAATCTTCATGATATTGTATGCCTCATATGCTGCTCACTCGTGGGTGCTTGGTACCTTCTGAAAAAAGTAAATGATAAAAAAATCAATACAGATTTAGACAGAGATTGAAACTTTTTACATCTTTGTTACTCTATTTTGTTATTTTTTTCAGCACTGGATAGCTAATAATCTATTTGGCATAGCATTTGCTATTAATGGAGTCGAATTATTACATCTTAACAATGTTGTGACTGGATGCATTTTACTGTGTGGTCTTCTGTTTTATGATGCTTTTTGGGTGTTTGGTACAGACGTAATGGTAACAGTGGCAAAGTCCTTTGAAGTGCCGATTAAACTTGTGTTTCCACAGGATCTTTTAGAAAAGGGTTTGAATGCTGGTAATTTTGCCATGTTGGGATTAGGTGATATTGTATTGCCTGGTATTTTTATCGCGTTGCTCTTGCGATTCGACAACAGTTTGAGCAGAAAAACCAATGTCTACTTCTATTCGACATTTTTTGCATACTTTATGGGATTACTCGCCACTATGATGATCATGCACTTGTTCAATCACGCACAACCTGCTCTATTGTATTTAGTACCTGCGTGTATAGGCACGCCATTGCTCTTAGCGTTAGTCAAAGGAGACCTCAAAGCATTATTTTCGTAAGTATTTCTAAATTCTTATTGTACGTTACATCCGTTTCTTTATGTTTGTAACATGCATGAAAGATTCTTTTTTTAATTATATTTCAGATATGAGGATCATCCATCACCACCTACGAACGAGGCAGAACAATCTGTGCAAGTAGAAACGAAAAAGGATAAATAATATCCTGATTGAATGTAAAAAAACACGCTATGTGCGATTTGCATTATCCTGTAATTATCTTTCGAATTCATCGTATGTATGGAAAATGGAAAAGAATATGAGCAATAGTTCATAGTTCATGCTCAAAACGTACAATCACGCATTGTAAAATACAATAGCTTGTAACTATATCTTGCAAATACAAAGTTGCAAGATATATCCATATAATGATTCACAATGAGCGTTCCACGGATATCGTTTTGATGTTGTTTCGATTTGAAAAGGAAGACTTCAGCATAGGATTTAGAACTGTGATAACCGAGAACACTATTTCGAATGCATGGAAAAGAAATTTTTATCACTCATATATGGTATCAATGATGGCATTTCGAAATAGTGAATGAGAAAATTTTAAACAATAAAACAGAATTTGATTGTTTTATTGTTTTATAGGATCGAGACTCGGCGAGAGAGAGAGAGAGAGAGAGAGAGAGAGAGAGAGAGAGAGAGAGAGAGAGAGAGAAACCTTCCAATTGTTGATTTATATTTCGTACGCAGTGTGCGCGATAGATTGCTATAAAATGAAGTCATTAGATTAACAAAGTACCGCGAACTGCCGCTATTTTGGCTCCATGACGCGGTTATTTCAAACTTATGTATGAATATAATCAGGTTAGGATTGCATTTTGGATTGCACTTACTATATAGATACATTACACTAAATGCAATATCTGTACTCAACGTCATTTTGGCTCCAAAAATACGTCACTTCAATTTTCCCATCGCGGTACTTTATTATCTAGTGACTTTACTATAAGAGTCTACTGAAGTTTTATAGTGTGTTACGTTGCATAATTCTAGAAATTAATTTGGTTATAAGTTTCAACTCCAGTTCTAATTATATATAAGTTTTTACTAATATTCTCGAATTTCTAAATATTTTTTTACCATGTGTGAGTGATAATCTTGAATTATGAATGTAAAAATGATTTTGTTTCCGTGCGACGCGATTAAACGAATTAATATAAAGTATAAAAAGTTATTTCCTATCTAAAATTATTGTAACGGAATATTAAACGTACACCATTATAATACATAAATGCTAATACATATTTATTTGTAAGAAATGGATATTTACGATTAAAATTAATATGAATATCTATTTAAAAAAAATATAATGTATATATAAATTAAAAGTCTGTTAAACTTGCACATTTCTTTTTGATTCGCAAAGAAATAAAGGTAAATATATAAAAAGAATATAATGCTCATTTGTTACAATAATTCAACTAAAAAAATGAATTTTTTAATAAATGGGTTTGAATCATTAAAACTTTGTATTGAAACGTAATTTTAATGTAATAATTGTTTGTAGAGAAATAAAATGTTTTCTTTTTTTCTTTGGCCTATGTAGATCATGCTTATAACGATGTTAGCGCGCATTTAGTGTGTAGTTACATTACTATAGAATTTCAGAAATAAAAGCATACACTTGGCGCTAAAGGCGCGTTTTAAATACGGGTCCCTGTTTCCATTTGTTTTTTGCAAGTAACTTTAAAATGGTAACTTATGTTGTAACAAATGAGCGATAATATTAATTACTTTTCATTCACTATCAGAAATTACGAGTATTATAATAATGTCACATTCCGCGAAAATTTTGGTATTTTGAAGTCTGTTTGACAAAATTTTTTTCTATTTATATAAATGTACATTAAAATCTTTTTAACAAAAAATGGATTATTCTTCTGTCTGCTCATATCTTGGAATATCATGTATATGTATATACACACGTATATGTAATAGGAATAGAAAAGTTAAGACGTACTGATTTGTTTTCAAAAATTGATAAAAGTAAGCAATTATAATCATGCGATAATTTTATCATCGAATTTTATAATTAGATCTTTTATTTTTATAATAGAATGTTTTTCTACTAAAAAATATTAAGTAAATGTTTCTTTTATGCTTCAGCAGCACTTTCCACAGCCAAGTTTTCAGCTGTAATCGGCTGCATATCTTTGATTCCATCCTTGGATATCTTTTGAACTTTGAAATTTGGTAAATTAACGATTAGTCGCTTCTGAATTTCCCGCACGCATTTTTTCAACAATGCATATGCTTCTTCTTCAGTACAATCTGCAAGAAATATTTTTATTTATTAATATTTTTCGTTCGTTTTACATTAACTTGTTGGCTGTTTTATTTCTAAACGCGTCTTACTGTATTTGTGATATCTGTCTAAAACAGACATGGAGAACATCCCACCATATCCATGAGTCGCGTAAGGAACTTTTACGCAGGATGCTAAATAATCAATAAAGTATAACTCTGCTCCTGAATCATCATCGTATCCAGCCAGTAGCATATTGACAAAGTATGGAGTCCTGCTTCTAAGATAATCAGCTAGATTTCTCCTTGTGAAACAAGCTGCAGCTTTGGGAGATAATTCATAGCCATTTCGCATTTTGTATAGCTGAATATTTTTCCCAATATATTCCGAAAACTGCGTTGTATCGCCTGATTCTCCAGATATTGCCATGACAAGCTTGTCGGAAATCTTATGGATTTTGTGTTCATCTGTAAATTATAATCATTATTGTTTAATTGTTGTAATGTATGGCAATTGTTAATAATGTAACAGTACGACGTAAAGTTCAATTGAAATATTGTAGACCATACATTATACATATTGCTGTATATTATAACATGATATAATGAAAATAATTTTTACATAATATATAATACGTAATACATTTATATGAGTATGTTTGAGTATGTATGTATGACGTATCATTAACGATGAAAATTTGATGTGGCAATAATATAAAACATAATAAACATACTTACCGCTTTTCATGACTATAATAGACTGTGTAGTTGTCATATCCGCTGCAACTAACACGAAATCTTTGCACTGAATACCAATTAAACATTCCATTTTTTGTGATACTTTTGTATTCGCGACTGCAGTTTCGAGAGATATAAATAATCGACAAACACAGCGAAAATGCTTGTCACGAAAATGACAAATTAACCTTTCGATAATCCCAATATAAAGCCGGCGGCACACGATGCCTGTCTTTTTGCTGGATTCCTAGCTAGAATAGATTCTTGCCACCGTATTGGGTGCGATGTTGGTATTGTCAGTACCGCAGCCAATACGATGGCAAGATTTTAATCCAACAAGAAAACAAGCATCGTGTGCTGTAGGCTTAATAGATCCATTGCGTGCTTGCACTTTTTGCACTCACCAGCCTTATGCTGGATTCACACTGCATCCGATTTTCGTCGTACGACGTTCTGGAACCAATCAGAAAACAGGATTTCGATGAATTTTGCTTCGTATTATCGGAATCCCGTTTTCTGATTGGATGCAGAGCGTCG